AGCAACAAAATGTTGCCAGCCTTCTTCCAAAATGTTCCATTTCATTTCCTCCGTTTTCCAGAAGCAAGTTAGCAACCCATGACTTCTGAGCATGTGCAATCCTTCTTGAGATATCTGGACTCCTTGCCTGAGGAAGGGATGGGAGAGAATGGATGGATGGTTTCAGCCAGCCCATTCCGCACCTCCAGCCCCCTCCTTTCTTGCTGCTGTGAGGGGAGAAAGTCTCATTGGCCGAGGAGAGATGACTGAAAACCATTAAAGACAAAGAACGAGGGTTGTCTGTCAGCTGGTCCAGTCATCATCTTCAGAACTTTCCCTTCTCAGCTTGGAGAGGGCCCACGGTGGGAAAATCTCCTCACCACAGATGGTGGTACCTGTGTTCTCTCCTAGCTCTTTCCCACTCTACCTGAGCACACACGTTTTTTCCTTTTTAAAAAAACCATTCTGTTTTTGTTTATTTTACTTCTAGAAATCTCAGGAACCGCCCCCCCCCCCCCGAGCATGGATGCTTTCTCTCTGTGTGTGCAAGGTGGTACTGTTTGGGCTACCTAAGTAGCAGTACTAATGTGGGAGGGAAATAGGAATCTCTGTGACCTACGTATGTGGGCTAAATAGCAAAAGAATCAGTTGGGTGCATGGATTAAAAATGTGGGGTAAGCTCACTCTCCAGCAGAAGACAGGCCCCAGTAGCACAGTTTAAACTCACAAAGTCAAGCAGCACAGTAAAGCATTAGGAAAGTTGGCTGTTAAACCTTTTCCATATCCCATTTACTCTGCTTGCAAAGCAGCCCCCTCTTTCTACCCCTCTTGCAATGAACACACCGCTAACTGTTAAAGTAAGTTTAAAATGCTTTACTTACAAAACATTCCAAAGGTCAGATTTGTGCATTTATGCAAACAGCACCAAGGAGAACACAAGGAGAACGGAATACAGGTGGGTAGACAATATGGAAAGCTAGCTTCAAACACGTGCTCTGAGATTGGAGCTTGCTTAGGCACATCTTCCTTGGTCAGTTACATGGCGCAGAGAGGTGGGGGGACAGGAAGAGAAGGCTTTGCTTCCTCTCTAATGGAGAAGAAGGGGCATGACCTAACTAAGTCTAGGAACACAGCTCTATGAGTTTAACTCCTTTATGCACTAACTAGCACTCATGCATAACTATGTTTGACTGAAATATCCCATAACTTGAATCTGAATATCAGAAACAGATGGAATGGTACAATGGAGGTGAATTGGGCTGTTGACATAATTGTTCCTATGCACACTCTTCAGCTGAGGAGAGCCCATTTGAACCCTCCGTACACCAGAGAGCAGAGGAAAATAAAGCAAGCTGAAAACCACTGGTGGATGGGTGCCTCGAGGTCTTGTGCTAATTGGCATGGTTAGCAGCAGATGTGGCTGCTTCTCTGGTGGTGTGTGGAGCCATAGACACAACACACACCCAATGAACATACTCACACATCCCTACACACAGACATATATGTGGACACACATCCAACATATGCACTGGGATCACTGGGAGATAGGCAGATTAAAGCCTTAAGGATCCCAATGTTCAAATGATGAACTTGGTGGCAAGATCAGGCTAGCTGAGAAGCAAATCCCTAAACCTCTCTCCATGCTATCCTGGTATAGCCCAGGTTGATGTCCCTACACTGCTAATAGTCACCCAATAATGCCAACGTCTGATGGTGGCCTTGGCAACATCTTCTGAAGGATTGAGATAGCTGGATATGACGTGAGGATTATTGTGGAGCAAGATCTGCTCATGAGAATTAACAGAAATTGAAATTAATAGCAATGACTAACTTAGGTTCATTTATCCCCAAAGATGCAGATCATCTGTCATGTGATTGTTTCACTCAGAACTTGCATCCCTTTTGAAAGTGTTGCATGAGGGAAAGATGATCTCCTATTTGCAGTCATGTTACTCCTTATGCCACCTTTCTGTTAGATGCTCAATACTCAATTTCTGTTAGATGCCTATACTACAAATTAAAAGCAATACTAAGTCCAGTTTAATGTAATAATCACACAATCTATTTGACTAGCAAATTAGATTGGCTTTACTTTGTTCAAAACAAGACAAAATTGTTATGTGCTAATTATCTCTTACATGTGAAGATATATAAGGCTCTGTTGTTCAATATAGGGCAGGTCCACATCTGAGTTGGCATCGTTCCATCAACGTCTCATTGTTGGATGACTTACACCTGCATGTGTGAACTGACTCCCTTTAATTAAAACCATCACATCTGAGGTAATATATTCATAATAGCAGCAGCAGCCGCCACCCTTAGTGCATAAGTAGTGATTTGCAGTGTTTCAGAATACACTGTGGACATTATCTCTATAATCCTTGTAAACATATCAAGATTGTTATCCCCATGTCACAGACAGGGAAACAGAAAACTATAGCTCTCCTAAAGTCACCTAGTGAGTTAATGGCAGAAGAGAGAATCAAGTCTGGGATTTCCTCCTGGGTACCCAACCTGTTCTCCTAGCCCCTCTATGAATAACGCGGAAGTTCAACCTGTGATGGCATATTCACACAGGAGACATGTATGCATGAACACTCTATGGAGCTTAAGGCAAAGGTAAAGGGACCCCTGACCGTTAGGTCCAGTCGCAGACGACTCTGGGGTTGCAGGCTCATCTCGCTCTATAGGCTGAGGGAGCCGGCGTTTGTCCGCAGACAGCTTCCCGGTCATGTGGCCAGCATGACAAAGCCACTTCTGGCGAACCAGAACAGTGCATGGAAACACCGTTTACCTTCCCGCCAGAGCAGTACCTATTTATCTACTTGCACTTGATGTGCTTTTGAACTGCTAGGTTGGCAGGAGCTGGGACCGAGCAACGGGAGCTCACCCCGTTGTGAGGATTCAAACCATCGACCTTCTGATCGGCAAGCCTTAGGCTCTGTGGTTTAGACCACAGCGCTACCCGCGTCCCTCTATGGAGCTTAGAGGGTGTTTATTTGCCGGGCCGCCCTACCCAGCCCACAACAACCAATACAGCAAGAACTCCACGGGACAACACAGAACACCAGTGAGCTCCTGGTTTGGCTTAGCAATGATATTGACTCATAACCTTGATTCCACATCACTACCCGAAAACAGTATAGCACAGCAGCAATTGTGCTCTACAGTGGATGCATTGTCTTTTGTGTGTGTGTACACTAATTACAATTTCCCTTTCATACATTTCCTCATTTACAACTTGCTTCATTGATCCCACTCAGCCAGCTCACATCCTTTATACAAAGAGAAAACAAAAGGGGGAATGCATTTTTTGTTGTTGTTTTAAAAGAGGAGCCTGCGGTGTTTAACACACTGAGGAATAATTTCACATTCATTTCATAACATCATTGCAGTGACACATACCATTGACAATTAACAGCAACAAAAAAGAAAATATCCTGCCACTATATAATGCTGATACTTTGCCGATTTTTTCCTTTTCTGCAGAGCTTTGACAATATAAATCTTGTGTTCATGCTTTGTGGATCTTTCCTGACACTCAGCAGTATTCTCACTAGGGCCTTCTTCTTATGTCCTATCATTCTAGGTTGCCTGAAGAAATTGCCGAAAATTCAATTTTGATGTCTCTGAGAACTGTGCTCTTTTGAAACCAACACACTTCTCATAAAACACAAATAAAAGGAGGGCTGTGTGCTGGAGACACTTTGAAAGAGCATTCCAAACAATTGCAGCTTTGCCAGGAATGGGCAAGGAGAGCACAACTACATTTCACAAAGAACACAAGGTTGCCACTGAAAGTCATGAAGGCGGCTCAGTTAGTTAGAGTGCGGTGCTGAAAATGCCAAAGTCAGGGGTTTGACCCGATGCATATTCCTGCATTGTAGGGATCCGTGTGGATAAAATGAACCACTGAGTCTCTCCCAACACTTCTATGATTCAATGATCACTTACCCCTGCTCCACTCAGGCCCAATCTGCACTACACATTTAGAGTTATCATGTCACTTTAAACACCCATGGCTTCCCCCAAAGACTCATGGGAAGTGCAACTTCTTAAGGGTGCAGATAGTCAGCGGCGGAGCATGTGCCTGCGCTGCCCAAGTTGGGCGTGCTCCTGAAGGGGGTGGGGCGTACTCCCAAGGGGAGCAGGGGGTGGAGTGGGATAGCCACTTGAGTGCACGGAGCAGCTCATGTGCGCTGCAGTCGGGGGCAGAGCGAGCCACCCATGTGGGTGAAGCAAGCCGCTGATGGCGGACATTTGGTGTGCCACCCACCCGCGACTACCAAACCTCCCCCAGCTGTCAAAATGAAGGGGGAAGGGCGGAATGGCGCCGGCAAAGCAGTACAACTCCCCCCTTCCCCTGATGGCTTGGGGTCACGGACATGCGGTGTGCTGAACATCAACCCCCCAGAAGGGATGACACCTGGGTCAGACCACCCCTACCGCACCCCCTCTTCCTCTGCCACTGCAGAGAGTTGTTAAAAAGGTAAAGGGACCCCTGGCCATTAGGTCCAGTCATGGCCGACTCTGGGGTTGCGGCGCTTATCTTGCTTTATTGGTCGAGGGAGCCAGCATACAGCTTCCGGGTCATGTGGCCAGCATGACTAAGCCGCTTCTGGCGAACCAGAGCAGCGCACGGAAACACCGTTTACCTTCCCGCCGGAGTGGTACCTATTTATCTACTTGCACTTTGACATGCTTTCGAACTGCTAGGTTGGCAGGAGCAGGGACCGAGCAACGGGAGCTCACCCTGTCGCGGGGATTCGAACCGCCAATCTTCTGATCGGCAAGTCCTAGGCTCTGTGGTTTAACCCACAGCGCCACCCGCGTCCCTGCAGAGAGTTGTTAGAAGGCCCCTATTCCCCTTGCAGAGCAACAATTCTCAAGGTTCCCTGGGAAGAGGGATTGACCGTAGGTATGTGACAGAAACAGGGGTCTTCTAACAACTCTCAGCACTCTTCAACTACAGGGTCCAGGATTCTTGCGGAGAAGCCACCACTGTGTAAGTGGTATAACAGGGTGTTCAATGTATAGGCCAGATGAGGCCACAGTTGCCTGTGACATCACAAATGCTTTCAGGGAATGATCGGGTTTGTGTGGATCTCCTTGCATGAAGCCACATGGTGGTAGAATGGGCTGTACAGTGGTACCTCGGGTTACAAACTTAATTTGTTCCATCCATTCTTAACTTGAATCGTTCTTAATCCGAGGCACGCATTCCCTACATAGGCCTCCTGCGGCCCCGGAAGCAGATTGCGTTCGTATCCCAGGGCAAAGTGCGCAACCCGTAACACCTACTTTTTGTGGAGTTCATAACACGAAGCGTTCATAAGCAGGACTGTTCGTAACCCGAGGTACCACTGTACCACTTTAGGCTGCAAGTAGGAAACATAATTCTCCATGTAAATACTTCATGAAAACAGAAAATTAAGATATCAGGAAGAAAGATTCTAGATGTCTCCCTGCTGGGCTGGTTGTCTACTTGCAGGGAGCCTTTCATCTCAGGGAGCATTCGAAGTACCACAATCTGAAGTTCTACCATCGCAGCTTTTGCCACCTGCTGCCTGCGTTATGGAGATCCAGCCTTGAACTAAGCTGTGCAGCAGCTTACACTTGTAGCGCTCATGTCCTGTTTCCAGTTACTTTGCAGTCAAGGGAGATGAACTACGCTGCCAGCAGAGTCCTGACAGAATCTGGCAACCATTTCCACAACTGCATTCGTAGTCAGTGTTACTGAATTGCATCTCATGGAAACAATGTTGGGCATGTCGAGCAGTTTTGTATCAGAAGTACATCCTCACAAATCATTTCCATAAACCACATACAGTGGGTTTATAGCCACATGCCAGCTACTCATGAGAAACATAAATATAATCTGCCTCAATGGTTCTGGCAGACGTGTGGATTTCTCACATACAGAAGGAGATATTAACCCCCATTTTTACAAGTTTGGATATGGGAGTTCCTTGTGGGTACATTCTCTTCACTTAGAAGTGGAGGTCAAGGACTGAGACACACAGTAACAGAGCAAAGAACTGCAGGCTTCTGAAACGCAAAGCCCCTTTCGACCGTGGTGCAGAAGTTATTCTGTTGTGGCTCCAGTAATTTTGCCATGTTGCCTAGATCAAGGTGGGTGTGGGGCCCCGAAATATGGGCCACACCAGTGCGGTCCCAGGCTTTCAAAAATTTTCAAGGCAGCTTTGGGACAATAGTCCTGGGGAAGCATTTCCTTGAGCACACTGCGGTAATTTATTCAAAGATTAACGAAACAAACCCTATGCATGTTTACCTGGAAGTAAATCCAACATGCACAGCATTGCACTGCGTGGCTTGCATTTGAATTTCAAAGTGGGAAACTAGGTATGATCCCTACCAACGTAAAAGTTACGCACAATTTTTTATTAGTGTATTGGCATTGATTAAAATGATAATGCTACTGTGGGAGCTTGCTTTCTGTGCTGGGCCGTTTCTGTATCTCCTCATGCAGTCTTTATGGTAATATGGGCTGTCAATCCTACAGTAAATAAAAGACAGAAACAGCAAGCATCAGTGGTCCCAGACTATTGAAATAAATGGCTCCGAGGTGGCTTTACTATTGTCTGTAAAACAACACATGGATCTCAGGCCTTCAAGGAATTCCAGTTATTTAGCAGTTAAAATAAGAGATTAACTGCCTGATTTTTAATAGGTTATCACCTTTCCCATTTGGCTACCCCTCTGTTTGTCTTGCTCCTTGTGCTCTGTTAAACAAGGAAAAGTGTTGTGACCCATAATTGTGGGCAGATTCACAGCAGGTTTTCGAGGAGTTTTCTGCACCACAGTGTCCAAGCCGCCTCCATCTGCTGTAGTCTTGTGTGCTTCCCACAGGGGAACCTGGCTAATTTTTCAGTCAATTAGCAGAAGGGCTGCTTTTGTCTTCCAAGTGCCCCCCCTGGGCTCCTCTTACACCCTTGTCTCCACGTTCAGATGTTGGCAGTTTTGAAATAGCATATCATGTTATTTTTCTCTGCTGACCTTTGTGACATTGTTGGCTGAATGCGATCACATGTAATTGTAGCCACTTGCGTTAAAACTGTGCAATGGGAAATGTATCGACTTAAAAAAAGAAAATCAGAGAATAAATGCTGCTAATGACATACGTGTGGATAGTTTTCTTTAAAGGGGGATATTAATTTGTCTTATTCTGCAGCCTGAGAAAGGATTGAAATTATGCATTTTTTAAAAATAGGAAACAGAGCATTTTTATTTTTTTTAGCTACACAATGTATTTTGGCAGGAAACATAAACCTGTGTAGTGAAGTACACAAACAGAAATACAAAAACAAAAAATACAGTCAGGAATAAAAGAATCAACGTTGTGCTCATTTGTTCTGCACGCTCATATTATGCATAGTAAAGCTATAATATAGTTATTTATTGTTCAGAATTTCAATTACATTAATTTATCAGGGCTTGGTCAAAACTGCTTCCTTTAAAATAAAAAAATGAACATGCTTGGCACTGCCAAAAGAGAGAGAGAGAGAGATAAAATTTCAGTTTTTTATTTTAATCTGCTTTAGGAAACCTTTGCTGTTCACTCTGACTTCTCCTTACTTTCCCTCACTGATGCCATCATGTCGCCAGCTCTGACAAGCTACAAAGGACTGTGACATCATCTCTCTGGCTATGTGAGATCACTCACTTGGAAGAAAGAAGAACCTGAAGCAGCCTTGGAGAGCGAGTTATGAAAGCAGCAACAGCCAGCAGACATAAGAATAGTAATAATGCCACCAGTCATTTTTGGGAGAGAAAATTACTAGTGTAGACCACTGCCCCAGGGGCAGATGTGTGTGTGGCATAAAATACACAGCTGGATAATATTTGGTGCAGCCCTGATTTGTATGAGTTTAGTTAGAGGTTAGTCATTAATGCCTGCCTTTTGGCACACAGCAAAACCTTTTGGATATAGCGATGCTGCAAAAGAACAGTAGGTGAGATTGACAATCGTGCCAGTTCTTTTTCTCTGAAATTGAAGAGTGCCACAGTCTCAGTTCACATAAAGTCACCGACACCAAATGAGCACATCCTGGGTTTGCCAGAACATCTCATGAAGCTGCTGCGGTTTCTGTCAAATACATTGCATGTCTGAATGCGTATGGACTCTACTACTGAATGCCACAGGGACTGCACTTTGCCTTAAGAGCAAATGGCCTCCCTCCTCCCATTTGGATTTCAATGTCACCTATTTATTATGAGTGATTTCTGCCTCAGATGCAAATATTCCCTGACACGTTGAAGAGATATTCTCCACACACACACCCTCCATTGTCATTCTGTTCCTTCTGCCGTACAATATCAAGTGAGCTTGGCTCTCTGTAACCTTCCATCCACCCAGCCTCTTGGCTATACCTTTCTATAGTTAATAAATATCCCTTTTCCACAGTGTTCAGCAATAAAATATTCACTGGGTCTGAGCTGGGGTTAACAGATTTCTGAAAATTTTATTGCATGACAGCCTGTCCTGCATAATCCCCTCAGCTGTCTCATGTTCTGGGGCAGAAACGATCTTATATGTCACTCTAATAGTCTAGAATTACACTTGTATCTCTGTCACCAGCATATGGGGCTGTGTATACCCCTAGGCCCAGCTCCCTCTCTTTCACGGCCTTTAAAATGATAACATTTGGCAAAGCCAGTTTTGACAGAAAGTGAACTCTCCTTTCCGCATTTGTGACAAAGCCAGCCACCAGAGGCCTGACACAGAGCAGCCAATCATCATACTCTTTACCGGATAATGATAGCGTGTTTCGCTCATCTTAATAACCCGCCTCTGTGCAACGGGAGACTGGAGTGCAGGTCCTCACTTAATTATACAGTCTACATCTTAAGTGCTTTATTCATGGGAGGTTTTCGGCTGAGAGGGCCTTGCCAGAGTTTGCCATTCTCTCCTCTCTTTCTCCTCCCTGTCCACCTCCACCTCCCAGCCCACAACAAAGTGTATTGATCATTGGAAGTCAGGGAGGGCAAGAAAGCCTAGCAGAAAATAACACAACAGGGGGGCAAGTTTGCTCATGCCCTCTGAAAAGGGGGCGAGGGGGAGCGAGAGCCCTGGCCTATGGACCAACGCAATAATATCAATAGAGAACTGAATTCATTACATTCCTAGGGTACAGTTGTACAGGATGGTGATGCATGGATTAAACAATGAGGCAAACTGCATTTATTTAGAGGGAGTCAGGCATAGTTCTAAAGAGTGATCCCTGTGTTGGATTCCTCGGCCCCCCCATTTTAAGGCTTACATTTGGTTAAGAGATTGAGCCAAGGCCATATTGCGCCCAACAACCTCTTTGTCCATCCAACTTCCTTCACTGAAATTTAACTGCCTGGTGAAGGCACAGGTGCTTATTAGGACATCCCTTAAATCTTGATGTTAAATCTGTTTCCTTGTTTATACTTTAATACAAGATTTGTTTCTAATCAAGCATTTCATTTCCTTCTTGGGCAAGGGAGGATTACATGCCATTTTGTGTGTTTCATTTCATGGGGGTGGGGACAAGTTGAATAATTTCAGAAGTAAATATGGAAATAAAATTGAGGAGCACAGTCTCATCCAAGTTCAGTGCTCTTCCATCCAGCTGAGGTCAATGAGAGAATTAAGCAATGTTCAAATCTCTACCGTCAAAATAATAATAATAATAATAACAACAACAACAGTTAAGTGTTTAACATTGGCTGAATTGTACCATAATTGTTGGTTTTAGCTTTTTAAAATGCAGGATTAAGGATTACTATTCCTGTAGCGGGAAAGAAATGGTCGTACTGAGTAACAGTCTAGGCCAAGAAGTTGTGCTTGAAAACAGATGAGTTTCTCTGCTTTAAAATTCATAACGACAGAATCTGACAAATGTTCCAGCTATTGTTTTGATAAAAACGGGCTGGAGGAGACAAGTCCTACTTGTCGTATATGCAGAAATGTTCTTATCCATGGCTCTAAACCATGCCTTTACTTTAAAATGGATTTCCATTGTCTGAGTCACTC